TGTGTACAGACCTCACTGCGTTCGGTCTGTACTCACGACCTCGGTCAAGATTCTCCCATACAAACCTCCTGCTCGGTTAATAAGAGCTAAGTACAGAAATATTTTGTGAAAGAGCACGTAATCGGACACTGCGAGCTCTTACATGGTCCAATTACAAGCATCATAACACCATTAAAATATTAGTTGGTATTACCCTAAGTGGTGCCATTTCTTTTGTCTCAAAGGCTTTGGGGGGTGGGGGGGGGGCGGGGTAGAGCGTCAGATAAACAAATAACTCAACAATCAGGATTCTTGAATCCGCTAGAATATGGAGACCTTGTTCTTGCAGATAGAGGGTTTTAATAGAGGAGAAGTTGGCCTCAAGGGGTGCTAGGCTTGCAATCCCAAGCTTCACGAAAGGCAAGAAACAGCTAAGCATGAGACAAGTGGAAATGTCTCGTAGACTTGCCAGAGTTAGGATTCATTTTGAGAGAATGATGGAGAGAATAAAGAACTTCAAACGTTAACTACTAGCAGGAATCTTACCTCTCTCTGGTACCTCATGCAGATCATATTATGATAACAGCGGCAATAAGCAATTTACAGCCAAAATTAGTTAAGTAGTCATCAGTGCATTCAATGACTTTGTCAAAAAGATGGTCTCTGTGATGAAAAAGACAGGCTTGGTTCCTCCATTGTACAAGGTATGAGAGAATGTAAAAGTAAATTTTTTAAATGTCAAAATCTTACCAAAAGGTCCTAAACTACCCACCACCTTACGGGAAGGATAAAAAATTACCACATTTGAAATTAACTCTAGGTTCCAAAGCTTTTCTATAGTAATCTGAACAGTTATAATAAGGCGGCCCTCTACAGTAAGCCCTCCCTGATTAACCCTCACAGGAGGTAAGGAAAGTGGCACCCACCCCTCCCCTGTTTCCGTCAACATCTGAACCAGACTGTCTTCTAACTTTTCTGGGTTTGTTTTGCATCACTTTTCTACCTTTAAGTAATATTATTGTGTTCAAGAAAAGTTAACTTATTAACAGAAGGCATTACTTATTGCTAAATTATCAGTCACCAGATTCCATGACAGCCTCTGTTGATGGATTGTTGTTGTTACTCTTCAAGATTGTTTGTTGTTAACATTTGTTATTTGTTGTATTTGCATTGAGAAAATGTCGATAAAGTGAAGCATTTGGTCTAACAGTTTTGAACAGATTATAAACTGTAAATGCTTTGAAGACATGGTGCTATGTTAATTTTAAAAGTTCTCCCCTGAATTTAAAATTTCTTGAAGGTTCTTAAGTACGTAATAATTATGCATTACCCTATAAGCCTTGCAGTCATCATGCAAGTCATTGACACTTGTCTCACACATATCCCTTACGTACATCTGGTAACTACTTCTTTCATTCTGGATTAACATTGTCACAAGAAATTTAATGCTGATCACTCCAGTCAGGTTCAAAAGTTCTATACTAGGCATAATGTCATTTTTGAATGACCCTGTAGGCATCGAAATGTTCCAAAATTTGCAGTGAACTTATTCATCACTTTTGCACTCTGGACAATACCATTCAGCTCTGGGTTTTCTACGAACACCAACACATGAAAAGTGGAACCAACCAATGTCACATGACACATTGTCGCATTCAATCATTTTCCCAAATTCTGGCTCATTGCAAATACAAAATAGAGGTTGAGCACTGCCTTCCTCATCTATTTCACATTCATTATCAATTCCGTTCAAACTCCTTGTTAATATCTTTGGCAAGAGATAGCTATGGAAAAAAGATTCACATTTTCCTAGGAGTTGTTCTCCATAGTCCTTATCATACTTGATGTGTTCCACAATATGGATGCACTTGTTTGTGCACACACACAAGTCACCAACTTCAACACCGAACAGGTGGTTAACGTGTATCTTCCAGCTGCAACTGGGTGTAGTATTGATGAGTTGTCTTGAGATTTCCATCCCTGTCTAAGCAGAACTTAGAGTCAATCCTTGCTGCCTCCATGGGATCAACATCCTTGTATTTGTATGGATACAAAATTTCTAGAACTCTTGGCTTGCAGCAATTACATGTTGCTACGCCATCAGCGGATGCTCCAATGTATGGCCTGTTCTCATCAATTAGAAAACCTGAGTGTCTGCATGCAAAACCCGCATGTTCCTCTGATTTAATCGTGACATAGAGATCCCTTGCTTTGTCTTCATTGTCAGTTCCCCATTTTACTGGCTTTACTTTGCTTAGATCCTTAAGTCATATCCCATAATTTTTCTCAACATATTTTCTGGAGGGGTGGTTGCTTTCCTTCTGAACAATTCATGAGCTATGCTGCCAGTTATCCTTCCTCTTCGATGTTCAAACCAGAGAGGGCAAATGGCCTGGTCCCTGGTCAGCTTTTCTAGTTCTACAATTTGATCTTGTGTTATTCTGGAGAGTGTTAACAGTATTTCCTTGCTCTTGACTTGAAGCTCTTCCTCTGAAAGAGATGAATACTTCTCTTGATGTAGTGACGTCATTGGCTCTGGAATATAATTTACCTCATTCTCATCCTCTGATGCACTACTATCTTCTGGGTCCAGTTTCGGAATCAGTGTAAAAAAATGCAGTTCTGGGACAAGCTGTCTGAAGGCTTTTCAACTCATTAATGTCAGGATGAGCTGTATTAGGCTGATATGAGACTGACTGCACTTCCCTGTGACGATTTTGTTTCAACAACTTCTTGAACTGAGCAACAGCTTTGGGATTTAGCTGATAAGACCCCCCCAAAAAAACAGGAAAGGTGAAACTGTTACTCCATCATTTCATAAAATTTAATATTTAGCTCACTGTTTATTCCAGTCAAGAAAAATATGCATACCCTTCTTTGACTAGTAGTGTGCTGCACATCATAGTTGATGTGAATTTACATCTTCTCCATTAATTTATTTTTTACAAATTATCTTCCGGACTTCTGTGAAATATCATTACTGGAAAACTGCAAATGGGGTGGGAGTCTCGGGCATTGGAAATCTGGGTACAAGGGCAGTGAGCTCTAACTATCTTGCCATCTATTGGGGTCAGTGGTTTTTTCTTCAACAGTCACTGACCATTCACTAATTTAATAATTGGTTCATGGAGTCTCTATTTTTCTTTTTTCTTCTTCCTTTCTTTTGTGTTTTTGAAAGCACAACTTTTCATCCCAAAACCTCTTGGCATTTCTTTCTAGTACATGTCACCATTTCCTAGCCGAGAATTTACCATACAAATTGCAACAATAACAATCATGATAAATGATCGTAATATTTAATGGAGATGATAAACTATTGGATACCTTCTCTCTGAATGTGCGATTCCACTGAAAAGCCACGCTACTGCAGGATGATTTTGTTAGGCGCAGTTTCACTGATGCTTCCACTTTAAAAAGCACTGCAGCCACGTGGCTGCACACTTCCCCTAATCTGTAGAGTGAGAAAGAAAGAAGCTACCATTTTTGGACCTCCGGAGGAGTGGTAAAGGCGCATCTGTCAATATGAAATAACTTACCCAGCCATGCAGGTGCAATGTGCACAATGAACAGTGGCTTCCTTCTTTCGAAGACAAACCCATGCCTCGTGTACATGTGGTTTATCGTTTGAACGCTGAGGTGGAATAACTTTTCCTTTAATGAAACAGAACGGTACATCTTCATCAATAGTGTGAAACCGGAGAAGTTTCACATGGCCGCTTAGAAAAAATTCATACGCTTCTAGCGACTTGTACGCCTTCAAAGACTACCTCGTGTAGATGCCTGTGTAGCTTACAGTTCTTGTTGATGCTACGTCTAGAGATTTCGAACTCACGCCCTGTTGAAGAGACTCGAGGAGCCCGTTGAGAATTGAAAGACAGAGCGAGCGAGGTTCGACTAGAAAAATAAGTAAAAATACATGTGAAGAAGAGCCGAGCGATATGAAAAATACAGGACTGAATATAAAGACTTACAAATGTTTCCTGACTGTAGCGATGACGGTGAAGCTAGGTGGAGTATAGATTCCGCAACAATATTAACTTGAAGCTAGAGAAAACGTTGAAAAGATTGGCGCGCTNTGAAATCATGTCAGGGTATCCTGCATCTATAAACGATATCTTAGAGGCTAACAGTTATGTCAAAATGTTGGGAGCTTGCTCCGAGTTGCTCTGAGTTACTGGTGAGTTACTCCAAGTTGCTTATGAGCATGTCTAGAGTTACTCCGAGCTTATCATGAGCATGCTTATGAGTTGCTCATTTGGTGGTTTTATCGGTGGTTTCGTTTGTAGTAACTGACAGTTTTTGGAACGTCGACTAAATGGCTTTTGGCAATACTGACCAAGGTATGCCATGCAGTGATGCGTACTCGACGCTGGTTTTACTTAAAATGAGCAAGAACAGCTTGGCGTGTATTTATATGCTCAGAGTTACTCGATTAGGGTGAATGACTCATTTTAAAAGTGAGAAACTCATTTTGATGGTGAGTAACACGTTGGGAGCTTGCTCCGAGTTACTCCTCTGAGTTACTCATGAGTTACACCGACTTGCTCATGAGCATGCCTCGAGTTACGAGAAAATATGGAAGACCAGAAATGTCTGATCTGTTCGGAGGAGGCTCCCGGATTTGACATCCTTGACGGCTCTGTCCTACTATTTCCATACGTAACTGCGGAAAATTTGCACAACGTTAATGTCAGGCGCAGTGGGAAATCTCGTCGCTTACATGCCCACATTGTCGAGAATTTCTACCTTCTCTCCCAAACTGTTGTTGATTGGATGGCAAATAACATACAAGTACATCGCTATTTCAATCACTTTAAAGGCAACTTCAAGGGTGACCAATTTGACTGACTCTCACCACCCAAGCGGGTGTTCTACAATCATGTTTCTTGTGCGCCTCTCCCCAAGTTCATTTCTAACACCATTCTGTAACGCCTTTACTCTGGAGCCATATCAGGTTGGGGCAGAGTAGGAGGGGTAGATCCACCTCACCTTGTCATGCCACTTACAGTCGAGCCCTGGACTTTGCAATGACAATAGGTTTTTGAAATAACAGAGATCGTTGCTAGACTTGTTAATCTTGCAATTAGCGCTTCACTTCCAGAATAACTTTATTAGAACAAAAGTGTAAAATATATTTAATGTATGAAAACAGCAAAATAACAATACAAAAAGTGTGACTGACGTGTTGGCAGAACAGTGCACGTAATAGTCCTTCACAAATCCAGGTGTGCCGTGTTTAGATTATTTATCTTGACCGACTCATTGCCTCACGTGAGGCCTGTGTCACATAGAGTTCACACGACACGTTCCTCTAGCACCAGAAATTTACATTTCAAAAGGCGCCATTGAATTACTTGAGCTCATTTGACAGGGGGATTCCCCTTATTCACTCAGGTGACGTAAAGACCATATGACAAGTCAGTTTGTCTGCTGACCGTAGCGCTCACAAAGGATGTGTTCATTATGGGAAACCCTCTTAAATTAGCTCGCATTACAAAATTCCCACAAAAATCACTTTACTTGAATAACCTGATTTGTTTAACTATATAGACGGTCAACTGCACAAGGCCTAAAGTCACGAACAATTGTCAGACAGACTGGTTGATTGACGCGTGTGCTGTCCGCGACCTTTTTCTCGCGTAACATCGTGGATTCCGGGAAACTGGGAACACTTTTCCGAGAATTGGATCCTATTAGCTGTACTGGTGTAATATTTCTTTTCACAGAAGCTTAAAGAATTTATGCTCCTGTCCCTTTTGCCTTACTTTCACAGCAAATAACTCAACCAGAATTTACATTAATTGAGCTAAATAAGACTGGATAACAGGATTATGAGTTAATCAGATATCCATTGTGATCCTCAACGGACAACTAAACGTGCCATGAAATAAAATGCATGAAATTTATACATTTGAATTGATCTACGTTATAACGACTTAGAAGAAAGAGCATCGCAGTTAAATACACAAGTCAAATACTGTTGTGATAAAAGCTAAAAAAACAAAAAAATTGGCTTGAACGGTTTCAAAGCGTTCAAGCCTGATTTGTTTTGTTCCTTTTTCTGTTTATTTGTTTTTTTTTTCAGGTTTTATCACAGCCACTTAGTGGTTGACTTTTGCTCTTTTGATTTTTTTTTTAACCCTTACATGGACTAGGAAAAGTTTTTTCTCAGGACATGTGTATGCATGATATCTTTTTTTCTGTGTAACATGTTTTTTTTTTCGGTTCACTGAACGTGGTAAGCGTCTGCAAATCGTTCAAATCACCGAAATTTGCATGACTACGCGGACAAATGTCTTTGTGAACCTGATGAAATTATTCTGCGCGAGGAAGAGGATTTTTGATGTTCTAGAAGTTATCTTTTGCCTGGAAACCCTTACAAATAGTGCACTAAATAATGTACTTTCAGCAAACTTTAGATCATACACCTGCATAAATAACAATTTGTATGCGCGTTAAATAAAATGAATGTATTTACCGCTGATTCAGCGAGAAAAGCTCAACTGACTTTACACAGCTGTCTAGGCTGGACATACATTCTGCAGATGTATATTAGAAACTAGTTTTGTTGAGATCGCCATTCGTCACTGAGCTGAATTTATTTAGGCTTCAAGCTGGCTCCACTCAATATGCAGCTGAATTTATCATGTCCTATAAAGATGATGCAATCTTGTTCCTTGCAACTATAAGGTAAGTACTTTTTTCAGTGTAATTCCATTTACGTCGAAGTTGAAGTTACGAAGAATAAACACGTGTAACTCTATACACTCCATAAGAACTTTTAAGAGAAGATAAATACAGTAGCACAAGCCTAAATGCGTTCATCTCAACCATCAGAAGAGACAGAATCTTTACTTGAGGATAACAGCCAAAACTGCCACCTATGTTTATCTTGATTTCTAGAAGAATTCCAAATATTTCCAAATTGTAGTTTATCTTGTATTGCAATAATTTATATAGGATANGGATAACAGCCAAAACTGCCACCTATGTTTATCTTGATTTCTAGAAGAATTCCAAATATTTCCAAATTGTAGTTTATCTTGTATTGCAATAATTTATATAGGATACATTTTAAAATATTTGTACAATTTCTAGATATTTACTTCTTTATTTTTTACATTTATAATTCCTTATGTTGATGTTGTGTCCCAAACTAGCAGCAGTACTAAATACTCCCAGACACTTTAACAAAGGTTTTGCTGTCGTTGTTGTTGTTATTGTTGTGAAGTCCAAGTTCTCTGAGTGTCTTTATTTCCAGTTGTAGCAGATCCGACGGTACTTTGGAACCCGTGACAAGTTCCTCTCCCGCAGCCAGCGAGTTGCTCCGAGCTAATTTCCGGGTCGAGTTAATTTCCTAGGGTAAAGCGCACACGTTTCCAGCCAGTTAGGCCCCTCGGCGCCCATTTTCCCCAGTTTAGAGTTCAGAGCGACAAAACCCGTTGTCACACCTTAATTAATACATACTCGTAACCATTGTCATGGTTTTTATAGCAATAACACACCGTTCTCCTCTTGAGTGACAAAACTTGCAAATAATGCCACTGGTATTTCATCTCCTCGCGGGATTTTACGCCCGTATTTCTGACTTTATATACGCTATTTGCCGGCTTAGGGTCGGTCCGTATAGTGAAAAACTGTGACCTCGGGCTTGAAAATGCTACCCTCGGCCTGCGTCCTCGGGCAGCATTTTCAAGACCTCGGTCACAGTTTTTCACTATACGGACCGACCCTAAGCCGGCAAATAACATGTTTTTTTTTC